GCCACAGCTATTACACTTCTCCAAGGAACAAATCGTTTCTCATTAATTTCGATCATATATTCAATACCTTTTTCTGTAAATTCATTCAGTTCAACAGTAGGCATAGAACCTTTTGTGTATAATTCCATTAGATTTTTTGCTTTACTTATTTGTATATTTTCTTGATCGAGATTTGCATGAATAACAATATATTCAACTTGATGATCTTTCAAACATTGAAATTCGAAAGAGAATTCGATATTCTCTTTACGAAGATCTTTTATTATAATTTCTGATGTTGTCTTGTTTAAATTGTTAAAATGAAAATTTGCTTGCCCATTAAGACCATTAATACTGTTATAAAAATCTATTCCAATAAATGAAATATTAAATGACATTTCTTTACAGTCACATATAATGTTTCTAATTTGATCGGTTTGCAATGATTCAAATTTGATATAAAAATATGAATTATCATTTTTAAGTTCTGTTACTCTTTTCACTAATTCATTTCGATTTACTTTTTCATACAATTTCTGTTCAGTTACACATACTTTTGCAGTATTTATACATTTATTGCGATCAATAATTGGCAAAAGTGTTGATTTAGTCAAGACCATTTCGATATTTATAGACTTGGCTTTGATTGAAGAGAGTTTTTCATCAATGCTCTCAAAATCTAAACGCTCAAAATCAATTTGAAGAGTTGCAGAATCATTAGCTGTATTTTTGAAATGTTTATTCACTTCATTTACATTTGCATCTTTAATAATGATGTTAAATCGAAGTGTATCATCCGTTTTTGCTTCAATCAATGTAATAAGTTCACTCATTTGTTTATTTTTGAATTCTTCAGTTTTGTTATCACTATGTATAATTTTCAAGTCAACTTGATATGAACTTGTTATACGAAGTTTATTCCACATGGTTCGTTCACTTTTAAGTTTATCTATAGCTGATTCTTTCGTCAGATCCAGATATTCTTTATTTTGATTGAAAATTGCTTTTATTCTATCTAATTCGGCTTGTTTCAATGTAATAGATATGCCATGGTATGATGATGGTAATTTATCTTTGTAGTATGCATTATTTATAGTTATCAATGCTTGATCAATTGTACCGCTATCTTCTCTCCATGTTAAATCATTGAATATTAAAGTATAATCTGTTTGCTTATCCATTTTAATTTCTAATTTTTTGTTGCTATTTCTTTCACGTTCGTAATAATACTCAATCTTTTCTAAAACATTGCTATTTGATTGTTGTTTAATTTCAATCAAATCAATAAGTCTCAAAGATTTCTTAATTGCACCGATATTACCTTGAACACTATTTAAATATGTACCTAAAATAGTTACTTTCGTCATAAGCTGTTTATATAGTTCACTATCAGTAAATGTCGGTTGTTTTTGTTCTAAAAGTAATTGCATTGAATTTAACATTGCCATTTCATTCGATAAGATTTTTAATGATTTCTCAAATGATTCAAGTGCTTTCTTTTTATAATTCTCATCTTGAATTATAAGTGCACACCAGGCTATACCTAAATGTGCCGCACCAGAAGCAGCTTCATCTAATTGAACAGCTTTCTCAAAATGACTCAAAGCACGTTTAGCTTTTGAAGAGTTACGTATGGACCAATCATTCATAATAATATCATTTGCAATCACTGTATAATAATATGAATTTTTAATAATCTCCTCTTCTTTGTAATCTTTTCTCAATAGATCAATCAATTTGTTGCATTCTTCTTCGGCATGATCTGATGGTATAGTGTCATCATCTAATTTTCGTAAAAACATTGCCCATTGTTCTTCAGCAGCTGCAATTATATTTGTTTCATAAACAGTTGGCATAACAGTTTTAAATACGTCTGTTACCGCATTCAAACTTGTTTGAAAACATCCTTGATTATATCGAATATCATGACGAATTTCTTCATTTAAAAATGTACAGAATTGTTTAAATAGTTTATCTTTTATTTGAATCAATTTCAATTCATTATTTTGAAATTCGTTTAACATATTTGATTCGATTATATCTCTTTGCAATTTGACTTCGGTGGTATTTATATGATTATAATCGATTAAATTCATTGAATTTAAAATCATCAATCCAGTACCACGTTTGCCTTGTCTCGCTGTTCGTCCAAATGCTTGATCTTCGACACGTTGATTATCTGTGAAAATATCGCTCATGCAAACAAACTTGGTGATCTATTGAAAACTCAACATAGATCAAATGCTGTCAAACTCTATACGATGAATAATATGAANATTCTTAATCCTTTGAACGAAAAACTTCGAATCAATCGATCATCATGATCAAGATTATTTTCTAAGAGTGTAATGCAGCTTTCAGATAAATGACAATCTTTCAATGAATGATAAATTGATTCAATGAGAAGTGACAATAATGATGTTTCATTTTGGGTTTGAACTAATTTTTCAAGAACTTCGGCGACGTTTTGATATTTTCTCTCTTTAATTATGCGACAATAACATGGCAATGTAATTTCGTTGCATGTATTTGTCAATAAAACTTGTTCGATAAGAAAAACGAACGCTTGACTATTATAATAGAGTGGGTTGCTGCTTATTGACATTTGAACCAATTCTTTTATATTTTGTATATTCAAATGGTTACCTTTTATTTTGAGAACTGTTAACAATTCTTTTATTTGTGCATCATTTAATTGAAATCGTGTGTTTAATTCTTTGTAAAGATTGCTTTGAGAAAATGCCTGTTCGATTTTATCGGCTTTATCATTTTTTAGTTTTTCATTAAAGATTTCGGCGGCTCTGTCATTCAGATTTTTTCCACTACGATTTGCATCTTCAAGTAATTTTGAACAAGAATTCTTTATTTCTTTGGAATTGGTACTCTCATATAATAGTACAATACTTTCAATAAGATCATCAGTCATTTTATTTTTCGATTTCAATAAATGTAAAATTTCTAAAGCCTTTTCTTGTAATTGAAAATCTTGATCAATTATATTTTTCAATTGATTGTAATTTTGTTCTAATAAACCATCTTCATGATTTGCATATGCTTTTAATTTATTCAATAGTTCACTATTCGATCGATAATCTAAGTTAGCCAGTTGAATTTTTGCTTTATATTTGCTCGTCAATTCACTATTATTCTGTTCCATAAATGTAAATAAGGAATAAATTTCCTCTTTTATTGTTCTATCACAAGATAAACCTGTACCAATTGTTATGACTGCATCGAATACACTTGAATTAACCTTTACAAATCGAGCTAATATTCGTAATACATGAATGCATATCTTTTGTAAATTAATATTATCCGAATTGATTCCATTTACTAAGATTTCCTCTGTTTGTCGCTGGAATCGTTTAATATCGGTGTAATGAGTTTCAATCAACGATCCAAGTGCGCTCAAAAGTTCTTGTTTCAACATAATGTCTTTTTCAAGTAAAATTTTATTCAATATTTTCTGGATTATATTATTACATAACTTTTCACCCTTTTGTGCCAAATATACAAATATTAAAAGCACTTTATCTTCAATTTGTTTTCTATTCAATGCCATTTCTAATTTATTTAAAAGTTCAGCAGATAATGTTTGATTATTTTTTGCTACATTTTCAAAAATACCAATTAATATGAATTGATCACTGTTTGGATTGAAATGTTCAATTAACTTATTCAGCAAATCATACTGTATGATTTGTTTATTTTTTGATATATTGTACAATACTTGTAAAGCATCTTCGTTATCAGTTTCATTTTCTAAAGCATTAACTGTATCAATTGGTAATTGCATTCCATTGTTGGTTTGATCTTGCATAAATGTAATAATTGATTTTTTATTAGTTGATCGAGATAGAACAAAACCAGCTTTAGCAAGTTCTATTTTATAGAATATGCTCTCAGGTA